TGAGGCAAACAGTAACCTGTGTAGTCCTGGCAGCTCCTGGCAGAAGAGGGCTTTGGCGATGGGAAATCATAACCCCCGACTAAGGGGCGGCAGCCTGGGTTAGAGAGTTTAAATCAGAGTGTTGGGAGGAACCCTCACCCCACTGTGCCATGTATGTGTTTTTTTTTTTTTTTTTTTTTTAAGTTTAAGACAGAGAGAGATGGAGGGAGCAGGGGAGGGAGAGAGAGAGGGAGACACAGAATCCAAAGCAGGTTCCAGGTTCTGAGCGGTCAGCACAGAGCCCGATGTGGGGCTCGAACTCACGAACCGTGAGGTCATGACCTGAGCCAAAACCAAGAGCCTTAATGGACTGAGCCACCCAGGCATCCTGTGTCACGTGTCTTAAGGGTGACACTCGTGTGCCTCCTTCTCCTGAGAGTGGAAGAAGAACTGCCCTTTTGGGTGAGTTTGGAGAACGGACCAGGTCTGTCTTTGGCCTGCTCTTCGCTGTGCCAGTAAAGGCTCTTTCTCTGTGGACAAGGCCCTTTCCCACAGGGCCTTGCGCCGGGTAGGTGAGCTCAGCTGAGGGATGTAGTTCTAGTAATCCCACCTGGCTTCCAGACCTCAAGCCGTGTCCTCCAACAGACCTTTAGTAGCAAAGAGGAACCCGTGTGAGCATCTCTCTCACTGGTTCCAAGTGTAGGCAGGGAGCTTGGGTCTTAGCAATTGAATCCCTCAGGGGTACCTGGGTTGCTCAGTCAGTTAAGCATCTGATTCTTGATTTCGGCTCAGGTCATGATCTTACATTTCATGAATTCGAGCCCCACATCAGACTCCACACTGCCCGCACAGAGCCTCCTTAGGACTCTTTCTCCCTCTTTCTATGCCCCTTCCCCTCTCACTCTCTCAACCTCTCTCTCTCTCTCTTAAAAAATAAGCAAATCAAAAAAAAGAAAGAAAGAAAGAGATGGAATCCCTCAAGCCCCAACAGGATGGCACTTAATGGGGAATTTGAAAGGCAAGACAGGTGACACTAGAGCTTTAGAGCCCAGGGAGGGGAATGTTCTGTTTAAGATAGATGAGGTAACTAGGGGTATCTAGGGGCACCTGGGTGACTCAGTTAAGCATCTGACTTCAGCTCGGGTCAGGATCTCACAGTTCCTGGGTATGAGCCCCATGCCGGGTTCTGTGCTGACGGCTCAAAGCCTGGAGCCTGCTTCAGATTGTGTCTCCCTCTCTCTCTGCCCCTCCCCCGCTCGCTCTCTCTCAAAAATAAACATAAAAAAATTTTTTTTAAATAAATGTAAACCTGTTCTGTCTTTTCATCACCAACTTGACTTTCCCAGATGTTTGCAGGAATAATTTGTGGGGTTTTGCCTAACTACTGAGGTTATTACCCCATATAGACTTTGCTGGGATTTATCTCAGTGTTTGTTCACTGTGGCACCTGAGTTTTCTTGTTGTGTGGTTGTTAGAGGAAACCACCTTTCTTTTAACCTACCATTTGTAATGTTATGATTGTCTTATAATTAAGCCACCCAGTATAAAATCTGTTTAGATTACCATGGAGTTAAAATCTGTAAGCTTTTTCTCTTTGAATGGATACATAGGAGTAAAAATGTGATTGCATTGCATCATTTAAAGAACATAATGCAAAATCTAAGCATCTTCAACATAGAATAAAAGAGTTAACATTACTGAACATGTTCTATGGCAGAGTACTTAGATTGTCTCATTTAATCTTACCAATTCAAGGAGTAGGTATTGATGAGGTTTTAGGGGTGATAGCAGGGCTCATGGGGTCCAGAGCCAAGGACATCTTTGGTGCAAAAAACGTGGCTTTAAGCCACCAGGACAGGAACCATGGGCAGAAAGAGTTGCCCAGGGACATGAGGAGAGACTGGTTATATACTATGGGGCTGGGGGAGGTAAAATCCAGGGGAAGTTTCCAGTGAGATTTTCATAGGTTAAAGAAGACTACCAAGATAGTGGAGGTCTAGCTATTGTCAAACTAAGGTGGTTTTCCCTCTAGCAAAGCATTAGCATTAAGACCATAGGGAGTTCCTGGAGAAACATTTTACTCGGCCAGCCTCAAGTATTTGTCAATGGGCTGCAGGTTATAAGGTAATTTAGTTCTATCTGCCATTTCCTTCTGCCTTTGTCCCCCACATCAATAGGAGGGGTGATGGAGATTTAGGTCCTGCAGGATTATGATCTCTATCAGTTAACAAATTGTTTTCCCCCTTTCCTTTGTTTTTGGGCAGCCAGGAGTACCCGAGAAATATCACACATATTCCACCTGGGGGTGGGGGTCAGGGGAGGGGGTGTGGCGGTGTTTGTGGCCGTCAGCTTGCCTTAATGCTCCTTCATCTGGTACCATTATTATTCCCATTACATAGATAAAAAACTGAGGTTCAGAAAAGTTCATCCACACAGCTGAGTACACAGTAGGTCCAGGGCTTGGTCCCAGGTCTGAGTCCAAAACTCTTGTTCTCACCACTACTATGGTTCTGTAGAGGTGGGGGGGGGGGCGGGAGGAAGTTTCTTCTATTCTCTTAGGTTCAGTAGTTGGATCGTGTGAATTAAACTGGGAAAAAACAGATTAACAGAAAAGATTTATTATGCATGCACATGGGGACTCACAGAAAAGATGTGAAAACCCAAAGAAACATTTAGGCTTGAGAGCTTCTAAGCCATTTTAACAAAGGGTGACAAATTGTGGACAAGAGACAAGACAAAGGAAAAGCGGATTGGGCTTCTAGAAGTCATAAATTGTAGGAAGGTAGATATATGGGGGAAGTTTATCAAAGATAAGGGTTGTGTAGTAAGATTTGTTTATGCAGGCTCAAGTCCGTGCCATCTCCAGTGATAAGAATCATCTCTTCTTCCTGATATGGGAAAGGGGAGGAGGATACCTTCACAAAGGGAAATTTACATTACCTTCACAAAGGGAAATTTATACCCTGCTTTTAGGCAGAAAGGGAGAGTACAGAGCTTCCCCTGTGTCTGCTGTTCCTCAATTGCCTTCAGTTCACAGTAATCCTTATGCCAAAGTGGCATGTTTTAGGGTGCTATATTCTGGTCCCCTTCAGTTCCCCAAACACATAACACTGTTTCAAAAGTTCTCAAGTATTTATTAAGTCTATTATATGTTCAATATTATAAGGCTGGATTCTTGCCCTCAAGGAGTTTACACTAAGTATAGGAAGGCAAAACTTCTCAGCTTCAGATAGGTCCCTCAGTGGGGACAGCTGCTCCTTACACTTGGACAGTTTCTAAGCTTACAGGTGCTTCACACGTACCATTCTGTCTTCTGTCGGATTACCACAAGCAAGTGAGGCAGCCTGGTTCTCTTATTTCTGTTTTACAGAAAACTGTCTTAGAAGTCAAGCAACTTACCCAAAGATCTCCAGCCTGGACATCTGTCTCCACTGTTGTGCTACACACACACCACACACACACACACACGCACACACACCTATATACAGCATCTGTATATAGCCATTTTTGCTAATGGAGCTGGTACTGACTAGCCAATCTAAACTGGCCCCTACATACCAATAATCATTAGGTACCAATAATCATTAGGTGGAGGCTTTGAAAGAAATTTATCCCCCCCCCCCCCGCCCCCAGTCTGGCTAATAGAAGTTACTCATGTATGTAAATGAGCTGGACAAGTCCCTTGGACAGTACAGGTCACTTTTTTTTAAAAATTATTATCTTTTTTGGTGCGCCTGGGTGGCTCAGTCGGTTAGGCGGCCGACTTCGGCTCAGGTCATGATCTCGCGGTCCGTGAGTTCGAGCCCCGCGTCTGGTTCTGTGCTGACAGCCTGGAGCCTGCTTCGGATTCTGTGTCTCCCTCTCTCTGACCCTCCCTCATTCATGCTCTGTCTCTCTCTGTCTCAAAAATAAACATAAAAAAATAAAATTATTATCTTTTTTAAATGTTTATTTATTTTTGAGAGAGGGAGACAGAGGGTGAATGGGGGAGGGGCAGAGAAAGAGGGAGACACAGAATCCAAGCAGGCTCCAGGCTCTGAACTGTCAGCACAGAGCCTGACACGGACTCGAACTCAAGAACCGTGAGATAATGACCTGAGCTGAAGTCAGGCACTTAACCCACTCAGCCACTCAGGCACCCCTACAGGTCACTCTTAAAGAGAGTGAGCTATTTGAGGTGGGATTTCCTATGGGCAGTTTGCTTCCTGTTAGCGCCTGGTAATGTGTCTGGAAAAGAACTAAATTAAACTGCATTTCATTGAAGACCTTCTACTGCCGCTCTATTACAAGTCGATACCAGAGTCCCCTTTTCCAGAATCTTCCACAACCCTGGGAAGTTTGGCAGAAACATTGGCTGGTTTTAACAGCCATTCCCAGTCACCCATCTTCTCCTTTGCCTCCCGTAGGATAGATGTCAACTCATTTCCCCAGATACTTTGCAGAGAGGGTGGTAAGGGAAGTCTGCTGTCGCAGCGGGCAGGTTTCTAGGAAATATTATTTTTCTCCCTATGAAAGGAGAAGACTGAAAAATGTATCCTCTTGCAGTTCTGGCCAGCTCCCTGCTTCCTGTTTTTGTCTGAGTTTCTGATGACATGTGAGATGAGAGCTGGAGCCAGGCCGCAATAGCGGCAAAGCCAGGTTTGCGGAACGTAGGGGCAGTGGGAAGAGTCGAGGGGCGGGACCGGAGGGGGCGAAAAAATTGGCTGGCGTCTGATGGCCGCGGGGCACAGCGGAAACCCGGGGGCGGTAGGGCGGCGGATTAAGGCGCGCCTGCCGGTCACCGCTGCTAGTCAACCCACTCCTGCTCCAGGGGAGAGGCCAGTCCTCAGTGGGCGGGGCACGTCCTGGGGCGTGGCCAGCCGGCCCGCAGAACCCCGCCTGTTCGGGGGCGGGGCTGGTCGAAGGGGTGGGGCCGCGCTCCGCCGGGGCGTGGCCTGTGGAATCTCAGAACCTGACGAGTCGGGGTTGGGGCGCGCGTCTCCAGGCGCGGGGTTCCTCCCACGCAGCGTCCCATTCAAAAGATGCCGAAGGGGCGGCGAGGCGGCCAGAGCCCCACCATGAGCCAGCGGCCTGCTCCGCCCCTCTACTTCCCGTCCCTCTACGATCGCGGCGTCTCCTCGTCTCCGCTCAGCGACTTCAACATCTGGAAGAAGCTTTTCGTGCCGCTGAAGTCTGGCGGGGCGGCGCCGGGGGGACGGTCCCTCCCTCAGGCGCCCCTGCCGCCGCCACCCGGCCTGGGGCCCCCCGGCGAGCGCCCCTGGCCCCCGCCCTGGCCTTCCGGCCTGGCCTCCATACCCTACGAGCCTCTGCGCTTCTTCTACTCGCCACCGCCAGGGCCCGAGGTGGCTGCCTCGCCCCTTGCTCCCTGCCCCACGACTCCCGGGCTCGCCTCCGCCTCCCACCCCGAGGAGTTATGCGAGCTGGAGATCCGGATTAAGGAGCTGGAGCTACTCACCATCACTGGGGACGGCTTCGACCCCCAGCGCTGTGCGTGACCTCCTTGGCCGGCCTTGACTCGCTCCCCCCCTTGGCTCCATGCCCCCCAAATCCCCTCCCCGGCAATGTGGCCACCGGCTAAGACTTCAGTCCAGATCCCAGATCGGCAATCCCCGCCCCCAGCACCCAGATTCACTCCTCCTGGATTTCAACCGACGCCCTCCCTCATCACTGTCAGGATTTCGTGAACACTCTTGTCCCAAACTTCACCCTCCCTCCATCCTGAGCCCTTTTGGTAATCTGGACTCTCAGCCTGCAAACCTCCATCCACCACCACCGCATCCTGCACTTGATACCTCCTGCACCATAATTGTCCCGTCCCCTGTGGTAGTAATACTACCATCACCCGCCACACACAAACCCCTTCCTTTAGAGACCTGAGCTTTAGTGTTTACCTCCAACTGCGGTCCTCCATGTGAGGAGGGGGAAGCGAATAGCAGTTGGAGTGTCTGTAAGTAGAGGTGGGAATTGTGCAAGACCCAGAAAGCCCAAGGACAGTTCACTGAGGGCCTCTGGGGCCCTCCACTTCTTAATGCTGGAAGGTAACCTCCCTGTGAACCCTAGCCCTGGCTCTGGTAGCCCTCTCACCCGGGTTTTGGACTCTAGATGTTAGATCTAAAGTCTTAGGGCTCTGGACGAGGGCAGACCAGGTGTGCTCTGATGTGGGCAGGATTCCTCTAGCATGCAAGCTGACTGGTTGTTCTTGAAGGGTAAAGTTAAATTTGATTCTACTTGACATGAGACATCTCACACTGTAGAATATTCACTAGCCATAGGCTGTTCTGCAGACTTTCTATCACCTGTTCCGGCTAAGGCTTGCAGTTCAACACTGGAGGAGGGAAGATTGTTCTAGAAGGACTATCCCCGCTATTATAAACAACCATACAGGTTAAGTTGGCTCCCCTGCCACACACGGAAGGGGAGTATGAAATAACCTAAATGTTTAGGTTAATGTGGCCATGAGAATGGTCCCCAACTCATCAGGCACCCTGTAAGGTCCTCTTCCCCAAAGGCACGGAAAAAATCCCTAGAAAACAGGCTGAGTCTTGGACCTCTTTACTACATTTTCTCCACTTAAACATGTTTTGGCTGTTAGGGGTTTTTTCCTACCCATGTTGGGTTCTGGGCTCATGCAGGGAGCACACAATTGCATCCCAGAAGCTTACTTTGGAAGTGTTAGAAGAGCCCTTATCTTTACTACAGCCATGTTTGTTTTGCTCTCCTGCAGATAAATTCTTGAAGGCACTGAAAGATGAAAAGTTACAAGGACTGAAGACAAGGCAGCCTGGAAAGAAGTCAGCCTCTCTCTCCTGAGGATCTGCCCCGCAGAGCTAGGGCAGCTGCCTCCTTAGGTGTTAGTGCTTAGATAATGTGTCCCATTTGTTGTCGTGTCAAAGATCATTATTTTCTGTTCTGTATTTACTGCTGTTCTCATTGCTCCCAGCATGTACTCCATATACAGTGCCCACTTGTGTGGTAAATCTCTTGGTTTGTCTGCTCTCTGTGCTGCTGCTGGGGGAGCTCTCTCACAGGGTCTGGAAGCTGCTGCCCAGCTGGCATTCAGGGAACCACCCCCCAACACCTCCAAGTGGAGGGAATTGGGAAAAGCCAAGGGTAATATATATTTGGTTGTGGTGCCCCTACTCAGAAAGGGTCTTTGAGGACTGGAACAGATAGTTGGTTTTCAAACAGCTTTAGTCCTGGGAAGAGTTTTGTTGGATAGCTTTTGGACCACAAAACTCTTTGATGATCTGATCAAAGCTATGGTCCTTCCTAGAAATTCACGTGCTTATTATGAACCAGGTACCCTCCTAGACTCTTGGGATTGGGGAGTTGGGGAGACACAGACAATAAATATCATAATATGGTATCACAGATAACCTGCTAAGGGGGAAACAAAAATAGTAGGGCAAGGTTGGTCAGGAGGGTCAGAAGAAAACAGGGTGGCATTTCAAATAAGGTTTCTAGAAGAGGTAACATTTAAATAAGGTGTGAAGGAAGTTGAGGGTGATAGCCATGTGGCACATGGGGGAATGTTCCAGGCACAAGGGCCAGTGCAAAGGCTGAGGCTGGGGGCATACTGGGATGTTTTAGGGTCAGCAAAGAGCCCAGATGGCTGGAGCGGGAGGACTGAAGGGAGCATGGTAGGGTTGAGTGCAGAGGGTCCTTCCACATGGGACTTTGCAGCCATGGCAATGACTCTGGGTTTTACTCCCAGTGGAGGATGTAGTAGTTAGAGGTTTTTCAGCCAAGTGATAGTGTCTGACTCGTGCTTGTAAGAGTAGACTAAGAAGCAGGGAAAGCAGGAAGAAGGCTGTCATAATAATCCAACTAAGAAGTGATGGTGCAGCACATTGTGGCCCCGCCCCACCTGTCCTTTCCCCCCTGCTGGGGCAGAGGTGTCTATGGCTTGTAGCACCACCCGTGAGGCCAGGTGCTGTCTTTATGGCAAGGAGGAGCGAGAGCTCAAGGACACAAGCCCACAAATAAAGAATATTTTAGGAAACCAGTCTTCATCGAGTGTAACATTTTGATGCTTGGCGTCTGGATTTCCTTGTGCCCTCACTATGCCTGCAGCCACTGTGGAACATGGCCAAATATTTGTGACGTTTGGGCTGTGTGCAAAGAAAGGCATCTTAGAAGTGAAGGAAGTGTCGAGGAGGGGGCGTGGCCAGCTCTTGACCAATAGCCCTGAGCCTGAGATTCACTCTTGGACTTGGCAACAAGGATTTAGTGTTGGTGATCTTGTCAAGAGCAGTTTCCGTTGAGTGATAGGGGTTTAACGCCCGACTTGAGTTGGTTTAAGAGAGAAACGGGGGAGGTGAATTGGAGACCATGGGTAGAGGACACTCTTCCGAGGTCGCTAGCTGCCATGGAGAGCAGAGAACTAGAGCAGAGACTGGCAGGGCAAGCGGAGTGGAGAAGGCTTTCTTTATAAAGACGGGAGAAGTGACTGCCTGTGGTCGGGAGGGAGAAAAAGTGATGATGGAGGAGACGAGGAATTGCTGGAATTGTGTCTGGACGAGGAATTGCTGGAATTGTGTCTGGAGTGGACAGATAGGTGGGACCTATTTCTGTACGTGGAGCAGAGATGGTTCATCGGGAATCACACCAGGTCCCGTCTGTGGTGTGAGGATGCAGATGCGGGGAGATGGGGAAATGGCTGGTAGGAGCCAGGAAGTTTCATACACAGGCCCAAATGTTCCAGCAGCGACCGAGTGTCTGAGGACGCAAATGCGCATGCCTGCAAGGCCCAGCTGGGAACCGTGGAAGAGCGTGCAGGGAGCCCCGTGGAGACAAGCCAGCCGCGGTGCGTGCCGGGCAGCCGATCCCGAGTTCCAGCGGCGTGTTGCCCAGGCAAGAGCGGAGCACCGTGTTAGGTGAAAGTTCCTGGCTTCTAAATCTTAGCAGCGAATTCAAATGGTTCGAAAACGCAGTTGCGGCCGAATAAAGGCTGGTGTGTCCCGCAGTTTGTAACCTCTGATCCGGTAAGAGTCCTCTTATCCCTGGGCAGGGATTCCAGGCCCTACTCCCCTCCCCGGGAAGAAGGCAGATTTCTATTGCCCCAAGCCGGTTGTTGCTGGAGAAGCTCCCTTGTTCACCCTGGAAAAATTCAGGCTGGCAAAGCCAGTGAGAAGGGCCGGAGAATTTTAATGAGAGGGTGGGGAAAACCAAGGGCAATGTATCTAGTGGGGGCCTGTTTCCCATCCCCTCCCCCATCCCAGTAGCTCTCGCCCCCTGAGAACCCCTAACCACTCACCTCCTGCCCCACCACGCTCATAAGATTGGCCACCTATTTATTAATTGCATACCATGTGCCAAGCACAGAGAGACAATTGACATGAACAATTCAATCCTCACCATCGCCTTGTGGAGTAGGCACGACACTTGGCGTGTTTTATAAGTGAGGGAAGAGAGGCTCCTCCAGAATAAAATGGAATGGAAGAGACCGCTAGCCAAAGAAGAGGACATTGGCAGATGAAAAGGACAGGAGTCCTGATTGAGAGAACAGCATATGCAAGGAATAATAGACGAAGGCGGTGGCGTGCTGGTGCCAGCTTGAAAAGCTTGTGAGAGCCGATTGTTAAAATTCAGGAATTTTGTAAGCTGGTTGTTAAAGACATCCGTTATTAAAAAGTAAACTGCATCAGGGCGCCTGGGTGGCTCAGGCGGTTAAGCGTCCAGCTCTTGATTTCCAGTCAGGTCATGATCTCATGGTTCGTGAGATCGAGCCCCGTGTTGGGCTCTATGCTGACAGTGCAGAGCCTGCTTGGGATTCTGTCTCTCGCAAAATAAAGAAATGAACATTAAAAAAATTAAACTGTTTCAACTCACAAACTATATTTACAACTAAGTTTAATAGAGATTCAAAATCCATCACTTCCTAATTATTTTGCTACATTTTACAACTAGCTATGTTCTTCAGGTTATATCTATTTGCACCACTATAGTTTGTGGAAATACTATATAACGGTGTAATAATGTGCATTACTTCCTGATAATGTCATGTTGGTATTTTGATATTTGCCATCATGAGAGTTTTTACACTGTGGAAACTGGTGAATGTACAAATCAGGTTTGTTCCTACCCATCTCCACTCCCCCAAAGTGTTTGTTGTTGAACATTTACTAGCACACCACCAGATAAACAGAAGTACCACTTTGTTCATAACTGAGCTAAATAAAGAGAAAGCTGCTCTGAAGCATTTGAAGTTGGGCTGAAGGTATAAACGAGGCTTCCTTCTTCCTCTGGCCTGATTGGCCCACTCGGTTGCAAACATGACAGAGGCAGGAAAGAAGCTTCTGGTCAGGCCTGGCCACAAAGGCTGTACCCTGAAAATGAATAGGCTTTCATGGAGCACATATGTGCTGACATAAGATCTAGTAAGCCTACCCTCTGGTAACATGGGGCCCAAGGAATGTTCTGGACTCTGGTCAATCAGATTAGTGACTTCTACTTTCTGGTAATTAGGGTACAGGGAATCTAGAGGTAAAATACCCTGCAGGTGGGGGACTGAAGTCCCTCCTCTCCAGTGGTAACTGTTTTGAGCAAGATAGAACATGGAACTTTACTGAACATGAAACCAGCTATTTATGCCACACCCCCTTCATCACAGATCTGTTAGTCCTGAGGGAAATACAAAATTCAAGTGTAATGGGAAAACCTCCCACTTCTTTATGCAAGTGATTTGTTCCCCACTCTGCGGCCAAAGGAGTCAGGCAGGATCTGGGCCCGCAGGAGCCTGACTTCTAGGAAGAGAAGGAAGAGAGAGCCTATCACCCCTTTAACGCTTTCTCGGGAAGCGAACATGGGTGCCTCCTGGCACACCTGCCTTTTCAACAGTGTCTTGATTTTGTCGCCAACCAGATGTGTGGCCTTGAGAAAGTCACCCAACCCCTCTGAACCTGTTTCCTCATCTGTAAAATGGAGACGTTGCTCTCACAGGATGGTTGGTGGGGGTCAAGAAATAAGGTGACAGATGTGAAGCTGCCCCCAGTTGGGAGGAAGGTGAGTCTTTTTTCTTGAGAGGGCCGACCACATTTCTTCCAGGCAGCACCCCATCGCCCACAGCGGACAAGCCAAGGGCTCAGCCTCTCTGCAGGTGGGTCCTCTGAGGGAGGGCTGTGGCCACCCACCACCCGGCGCCTTCACCTTCCACACCAGGGAGTCAGCTCACACAGAAGGTGTGTGCGCAGCGCCTGGAGGAAACAGAACTAGAGGGGAACCCGAAAAATGAATCCCTGAGCTGAGAATCCACCTATCTCAGGGTTTCTTTTGGTTGTGGGGTAGGGGGTGTGGGGGGAACAGAGTGGCTCTAACTAGCTTAAGTAACAAGAGGGGCTGACGGAGGTTCTCTGGTTGCAAGCAATAGAAACTAACATGAGAGAAATGTTAAGAAAGGAGGCATCCAGGTCTCTAGAAGGAAAGGAACGCGGTGCTGCCAATGGAGGGCTGCACTGCAGCTTTTGATCCTCAGAGAGGAAATGTGGTTGGGGCTCCACCCCGGCTCCAAGTCCATCTCTGTCCATGTTGGGGAGGGAGGGGTGGCCAGTCTCCTGTGACAGCAGCCCCCTCAAGCACTCAGAGTGGGGGGACAAGCTGTGTTCAAAGACACCACTTGTCCCTCATGGGCCTCATGCTGATTGGCGCAGTCTCTTATCTCTTGCTCCACATTCCTGCCTCGCCCTCCTCGTAAAGTAAAGTAACTCCTCAGTGACTCACACAGCCACACTGGGCTTCCTATTCGCAACCCACAGCAACCGGTTTCCTACTCCCAGTTCCTAGGAGTTATGTCACAAGCTGGGGGAGAGGGG